CCGCGCCGCTCCAGCAACGAGGAGAAGAAAGGCTGCCGGAGAAGGAATCTTCTGTTTGGTCGCCGGAGATTTCTCTCCCTCTCTCGCTTAACTGTAAACGGCCCCCACTGGCCTGCAATCCAGTCGGATTGAAACGCGGCAAATTACGCGTAATTAGCTCGTTTCGCTCGTCAACCTTCTTCTTCGCTCGATTTTTCTTCTTCTTTCTCTTCTCCAACGTCCTCCTCTTCTGCGCGTCCGCGTGCAAAAGATGCATGCTCGCCTGCTTCTCGATCGTTCTCGTTCCAATTCGGGTGAGACCGGCTCCACCCGATTGAAAACCGGGATCGTGACAATTTCACGGAGAGAAACAAGCTGACATTTTCTAATCTCGATGGTCTCGGCGACTAGTTCCTCGGGCGAGCGAAAGGCGCAAACTTACTTTGCCCTTTCCTGCGCAAACTGCAGTCACCGATTTTCGATTTCGTTCACTTAGTTACGTACGTTATTCTGTGTTCGCGTCGGACTGTGCAGATATCGTTTCTAAACGTTTCCAACAATGGCGATCGGTAGTCGATAGCCGATCAGTAAATCAATGATTGCTTTTATTATTAGCTCACAAACCAGATTATTGCTTTTGCGTCGGTTTGCACAGGACGTGCACGTGTAACTTGCTTTTTTTTTCTTTTCCTTCCTCCGGTTTTTTTCCTCTCAGTCCTCTTGCTCTTTCGAGCTAGAAACGCGAGAGAGCAAGAGAGATCCGTGTCTTGTCCAAGAACGCGTGCGACAGAGCGATAAATCTTTCATAAACGCGCGAATGGAATTTTTAATTTTCGTCGCACACCCATATACCTGTATTCCGTATATCAACGAGTCGCGCCTTCTCGTGTTCCGCGACGCGATTGGTCCACGTACTCGGCAAAAACACGGTGAACACGTTCCTTGCATAATGAAGATCTCGCTTAATCACGATTACGCACGATCCGAGGACGTGATCCGTCTGCGTATATAAAAGGGCGAAGCCACGATCGGGGCGAAGGTGTATTCGACAGACAGGATGGAGGAACGTCGCGCGACGAAGGATGAGTTCAAGGTAGGCATTCTCGCGATCCTCCGCGTTGCTCGTTTCTCTTTACACACGCTCGTGTTTCTCTTCTTCTCTCGTCACAGTATCTGACTGGATTTGGCAACGAGTTCTCCAGCGAGGACGAACGTTGCCCCGGTGCTCTGCCCGTTGGCCAGAACAATCCTCAACGATGCTCGTACGGCCTCTACGCGGAACAGTTGTCTGGCACGTCGTTTACCGGTTAGTAATCTCGCCTGTAAATATACGTGTAATCGGTACTAAA